TCTTTGTTTAAATATGTTACCAACATTTGAAGCCGTAAGACGGTTTCTTCTCTCGACGTGCTACCTAGGAGAACTATGTTGTTCTTTTGTTTCTTTTTCTAATATTATATTTTAATTTTCATGAAAAACAAGGGAACTTAAAAATGTCAGTTTTTTTATTACAAATTTAATTACTTAATTTATGAAGTATATAACAAATGTATTATAACACTCATAAACTACTCGTTTGAAATTTTTATGTAAAAAAACTCCATAAATAATAATTTTTTTTATATATAATTATGTATACTCATATTTACAATTGTACTACATTTCAATTTATTAAAAAAAGTTATTACATATATATATATTAATATTAATATATTCAAATACATGTTTACGTTTGCAAAATTATTTAAAACAGGTTAAAAACAATTCACAAATTATTATCAATTTCCGTTCATAATTTATGTATTACTGTCATTAATGATAGAATATTTTTCAAAATTAGTTAACTAAAGGAATTTGTGGAAACTAGTTTGGACTATTTAAAAATAGTTTTGATGGATTTCGGGTTTAAACTATAACATAACCATTAAAATTATACATATTATAATATAAAATAATCTTTAAATCAACCGTACTGGACAATTATTTTGTAGAAAAAAAAAGGTATTAAGTTAATAAGCATAACTAAAAAGAAAATAATGATATTCAGGGAAATAATTGAATAATTTTAATATCATTTTTTGAGCAGGTTTTTCTAGTAGCAAGAATATAATGGTTTTAATTTAAAACTTAGTATTATTTTTTTTACTTTTTTTTTGTGGTTTAATAATATACGAATAACAAGAATTAACTTTCAACTATTTCATTATAAATAAGAAGATAAAGACACGTATAAACACACGCACACACACATAAACAGATTACATACAATTACAGTTTTAATGAGTACGAATATGAAAGAGTTAATATTCACAAAAACATTCCATATGACAATATTATATTAATCATTACAAAACATATTAAAACGATTAAAAAACAGTATATATAGTATTTTCCTGAAATATGTTATTATTACCAGTCATATCGTCATAGAATTTTTAAAATCTAACAAAAAAAAAATTAATTTAAATCTAAACAAAATTATACTATTATTTTAATTTTATCGTTCACTGACGCCAAAAAATAATAAATCATTGACTAGATTTAGTAGCGAGTGCAATATGTTTACGAAGAAAAAATTAAGTCAGAAAGGTACCAAAACGTGTACAAAAGAAGTAATAAATTCAAAATTAAAAAAAGATCAAAATATCTTTGTGCTTGAACCCTGCCTGCAAGCTATTTGAACAATCGTTGTTTTATATTTTAATGTGTCTAATATAAATTATAATAAACCGTTATTCAATTTAAATTTTAAATCGTTTAGAAATTGTCATACCATATTTGCATTAACATAATATTTATATATTGCATATTATAATAAGTGTAGCGTAACTACGATTTGAGAACAGCGTGTTCCCAATAACAAACATTTTGACTCCGGTTAATATAATTTTAAGTATGTCATTGTATATTGCTCTGAATTTAAGTAATAATGAATAGTTTTCTATTCGTCTCAGCGTTAAATTGATATTCATCTATAATAATACATATATTAAATATTATTGTTTTATCCACGAATAATAAAAATAATCTATATCAAAAATTAAAATTGTAAAAGTTTTTTTATTGATTTATCTGTAAGAAAATATAGGTTTTCAGTTTTAATTAATAATTAAATATAATTATTATAATTTTAATTATTTATTTCGTGTTTTAATTTGACAGTCCAATGAATTTTATTATTAATCATAATAAAATGAATACATCAACATTTGACTTAATATGTTTTACGTTTAAATTTTCAAATATGTAAACTAGGTAACATTTTTTTTAAGAATAGTGAAAGTTAATGTATTTTTAATCTTTAAAAGGTATTTGTTTTATAAAATACAAGTGCTCTCTTAATCTTTTTAATCTAAACTTTTAATGTTGTACATAATAATAATAAATAATATTGTAATGCGGTTTAAATGTTACGCATACATAAAAAAACATAAATTAAAGCGAATCGTATAGGATTTTAAAATTACTACATTAATACAGAAAAATTAACATTATTATATAATAACATATATAAATGTATAATAATATACATAATATATCATTTATATTATAAATATATTTTAATCTTAACTAAATGTTTAACTACTTTATTTGGTGTTTATTTGCTAAAGAAATTTAATTACTGTAATTTCACGATGTAACTTGTTATTAACAATGTGCTAAATATAATTAGGTACTAAATTTCATTTACTAATCAAACCTGATTAATAATACTAATAATAGTCATAATAACAATAAAGCAATTCTTTAGAGAATAAACTTATAATCTAAGCTAAAGTAAACATTATACAGTTATAAATTATTAAAATTATTTTATTAAGCATTAAATACATTTACTTTTACATACTAGAATTAAAACATATATTTTTTAGCAAAAAAAAAGTTTTTAGAATTATGTATGCACTCGTATTCGTTAAGATGTATACCATAAATTACAACTTATACTCAATACTATAACATAATTCGATAAAATTACTGTCCATTTATTGTTCAACAACCGTAATAATCATCAAGCTAAATTGATTTTAAATTCTATTAATATTTGCTCACTAGCCATTCATTTTCATTACATTTATATTTATATAATTATATAATTATATATAATATTATATTTCCCGTTAAGATTTAATAATTTTATTTGATTATGATACAGACAAAAATACCAACAGAGTTAAATATATAATTTCCCTTTTTTTTATAAAACATTAAAACATTTACATTTTTTATCCATGGCAACTTTGGTGGTCATTGGTATATTAGGATATAGAGAAACTATAAGTTTTTTCAACTAGTTGGAAGGTTAGAATAAGTATTGTATGAATGTGAACTAGCTTCATTATTTGGTTACTCATCCGGAATCAATCAACGCTGAACACTAATCAGTGACAGTGGTTAACCAAATCGTCTCACCATAACCCCTAAAGTTAGAATGTTTATCGAAATGGATACAATATATTCCACCCAAATCTAAAAAATAAAAATATACTCTTTATTATCTTTATCTAAACATTAAAAACGAATAGATAATGACAAAAAAATACACCTATTGTTTTTTGCATATCAAGTTTTGTTAAAATTATTTTTGAGACACTTCTTTTTTTAATTAGCCACCAGATTAACTATTTAGCTCAACAATTACAAACTAGTACACTTTAATAAATATATATCACTGCAATCGATGAAACTCAGGCTAGACCCGGCATCCGCTAACTGCGGTCAAAAAAAATAAAAGTATGACATTAAATTTTACCGGTCACATTACGTCCAATAAATTCGGTTGTTCACGACCGTACATGGCCAAATCTGGATGAAAACAAAATATTTTCTTTTTTCGGCCGAATAAATTTAATGCATATAAATCCTACTGGCAGCTATTAGCAGTTGCCATCGAATCCCACCGATACACTCCACAGAATGCCTAATAATAAATAGACGTCTTTATCGCTCTCATTTTGTTGAACATTTTTGTGGACTACTATCGTTCGTTGCATACCATATAATTGTAGCTAATACATGCGCATATTAAAATTGCCTATACAAGACGCCAGTATACAAAATATTTTTGATAAATTCATTGAACCACCACAACCATTCGTGGTATACCATGTAACTCTGCAAAATACTTAAACGTATTAAAATCACCTATACAGGACGCCGTCGTACGTTACCTACGCCAGTGAGCTATTGTGCTACGAGGTAAGCATTAGACGCTAACACCAATTTAGTGATGTTAACGTGTCATTACAGAAACGTGACAATATAAAATGTATAGTAAGATTAAAATATCTGTATATTGGGTTGTTGAATTCGTTTTAGTAGGTATAAATACAATACGAAACATGTAGGTAATGTTTCATATACATTTCATACTATCAATGATTTTAGAATATGATTGAACCAACATAAAAAATCAGTTGAAAATTATTAATTCTAAAAAAATATTTATGAAAATGGTTACTTAAGAATGTAAAACGGTTTTTTCAAACCGAAATGAAATTCGGTTCCTAGAAGCTACGTGGTCTACAAACAAACGAAGATAGTTTGCATTCTATTTATGAAATATATTTGGTAAAATTAAAATACACATCATGATTCCGTATTTTATACTACATCAACTAATATTTTATTGTTTAAAAAAGGAATAAATGTTTGGGGAACAATGATAACATTTGAAAAATATATTACTTGTTAATTAGAAAGTTACTGTTATAATTATCGGTAATTTTAAAGTTTAATACCCTAATGCCACAATTATTAAAAAATAAATGTTTAATAATTTATATTGAATGGACTGATAAATACTGAAGAAGTTATATTATGTCTCACAAAATCAATTACTTTTTCTTATACATACAGTTACAACTGCCTACGACAGAATCCCATAGAACTCATTAAATATTCCATTTTTTTTCCAGCTTATCCAGTACAATATTTATGATGAAATTTATGGCTAAACTTGAAACTTATTCAATAATAACAAATTTTCAGCTTATTCAGCATATTCATAAACCATTTTAGACAAATTTAATTGTATATGTATGTATACCAGCAGAGGTCATACAACTATGAATTTAATAATTTCCAGATTTAATTAGTTATATCACATAATATTTTTAATCAGTAATCAAGTGCAACACAATTCTAACCATCAAAAATAAATTCAAAAATGTTAAAATTAATCATTAATATTCATTAATATATATTTTCAAATGCACAAAATTAATTTATAGGTTTCATACAAAATTATGTATCTATTCAATCCATAAATTAACATTTGCATATTAACATATACGTTAAACATCTGTATACCTACAAAATAACCTATAGTTTTAAAGTAAATAAAAATAATATATATTTATATATATATATATATTTAGTTCACAAGATGTATTAATACATGGATAATTATTGGTATGATTGTGATAATAAATCAAATTCAGCTTCTTTTTTATTATAAGTTTTAATAAAATCAGAATTGGGGTAAGCATCTCGTAACATATTTAACTGCCTTTTAGTTACCTGTAATGAAAATAAACAATAAAATTGTCAATCAAAATTGAAGAGTAATAATTTTGAATATTAACTTACATCAACTGGTACTTTCACATGACCAGAAATATACAATGAATTTACTAGGGAATCAATGTCATTGCTATCTTTTTCTAAAGCATCACGTAAAGAAATCTCTGCTTTTTTATATTCACCTTGTCCAATATAACATACTGATTGACTATTTAATAGTAAAGCTGTGACTCCATACTTATCAGTTAGTTCTTGAAATATGTAGTATGCTTCTTGTAATTTTTCTCCGCCCTATTCAATAATATATTAGTATTGAAATTATTATTTTTAAAACTCTACTAATTATAATGATGTGAATTATAATCATTAACTGTAGATTTAATTATATATTCAACAATAATTTAATTTATATATAATTTTTTTTTTTTTTTTTTTTTTTTATTACAAAAAATGGTTATAATTCAACAGCTATTAATTAAACATAATGATTAATATAATTTTTTAAAACACTGATATTCCTTTACCATTGCCAAGTTTAACCAAGCTTGTGCCATTTGTGTTAATGTTGCATCTTCATCCTTCTCTCTTAGCTTTCGAAATTCTTTAATAGCTAAATCTACTCGATTCATTCTTAAATATATTATCAGAGACAATGCAACACTAAAAAATGTAATAAATTAACATGAATCAACAGAAACTTTATTGTATTTTGGTTTAAGTAAAAAAAAAAGTACAAACCCTTCTAGAGTATCATCATTATTAAGAACTCGAAGAGCAGATTCATAATTGTGTTCATGATTGTAAATTGTTGCCGCAACAATAACAAGTGAATGATTTATTTCATACATACTTTCCAATTCTTGTTCTAATGATTTTAATATTAAACTCCTTAAAATAATTGAAATTAAACATATTATTATTAGTATACTTCATATTTTTAAAAATAATTTTTGAGATTAAATATTTATCAACATTTTCATGTAACTATGTAGTCGAGAAGTTTAAATTTTCATTTGTAATTTTTAACATTATAAATATCATACTTCAAATTGTTATACTTTAATTTTATTAATCTTTTTTTAATAACAATTTCCAATTAATCTCTTAAATCAAATTTTCCAAAAATGAAAATCATTTTCTCTGACCATCGCATATGTAATTCTGTACATATTTTATACTAAACTACAGTACATAATATTATATATTGACGATAAACAGGCATAAATATTTACGATTTATAAATTAAATAACTTTGTACAAGAACTATGAAAAAACTTTCAACACAGAAAATAATAATGAAAATTATAACTAGAATTAAGATGTTGATGACTTTTGCATTTTTTTTCATTTTCCTTTGATTCTATACAATATTATCTTAGCTAAAAATTTGTTTTATGCTCCTTTGTTGCAAAATATTCTAATTATATTTTACATTATTAGGTATAAATTCATATTTTATGACAACATTTTTCAACATTTTTAAGTAATTTATTCATATTTTAGGTAATTTTTTTATAGTTTTTATACTATGTGAGGGCAGTATTTTTCTTAAATTTTAGATTTTAAAGAAAATTTATATAACATTCATATAAAATCATTTTAATATTATTATTGTGGGATTTTTGTTGTGATTAAATTTATTACGTACTGATAAGATTTACTGTTTAAGTGTTATACATTATAAAACAAATGCTCTTTCAGACATATACCGATCATACACGGTTACACATTTTTTTCACTTATTTAATTAGATTTATTCATTTTTTGAAGTTTTTAGGGATTTCAACATTTTTTTTATGGTATTTTTGTGTGTTTTTTAAGTCATCAACATCCTAACTCTAATTATAACCAATTCACAACTGACTTTTTAAAAAAGTTAATTTTTTTTCTAAAATTATCTTACCTATCACCTGAATTTTGTAAATATTCAGCTAATAATTTAAATGGTTTCAATTCTGCTGCTGAATTGCTTTTTATTTCTGCTAGAACAATGCCAAATTTTTTTTGTGCTAAATAAGCACGATACATAAATATGTCACGTTGTAAACGTAAATTTCCATAATTTGGCTGAATAAATAAAAAAATAATTTAAATATTTAAAATTGAATAACAATGAACTATAATATTAAACAAATATATATTGTTAACACATTATTACAACTTAAAAATAATTAAAACAACAATTACCGGTTCTTTCTGAGCATCGTTTATACATTGTTGGTAGTTTCCAATATAGTATGAGTTTTTAATATCAAACAGTTCATTTGCTTCATAGGACTCTGCTTGTTTTACAATATCTGCACATAAAATTAATAAATTATTGGCAGAGTACTAAATCGTTTATAAATAATTCTATAAAACAGATACCTACCCGTCATTTTTCATGAAAATTAAAAAACTTATTATTAAAAAATAAATTTTTATGTAATGCTGCTCACGAATAAACGCAACTCGAACCTAGAAGTGACATAAATTGAAACGTCAAAACGATATGATATTATTTATTATTTTTCAACTTTTTAGTCTTATCAATTATTATTATATGTTATCACTACACAATCACCACGTCGTCAATGTCGACTCCGTGTTACCACCATAGAATCTATGGTATATATATATCTGATATAGGTTACATTGTTTGTCTACCACATAGAGTAATAATACTATTATGTCTACCACCATCACCATAGCGTAATAACTCTAATGACCACCACCGTCTACATAACGATAACGTTATATGATTACAATAGTAACATGCACACATGCGTTAGTCCACAATACACGTCTTGTTCCAATGTATATTTGTTACAAAAAACCAGTATATTATTATTATTATTTTTAAGGAACCAAATTTCGTTTTGGTTTGAAAAAACTGTTTTTCATTCGTAAATAACCATTTTCATGAATATATTTTTAGAATTTATAATTTTTCGACTGATTTTTTATGTTAGTTCAATCATATTCCAAAATCATCGATCATATGAAATATATATGAAACATTACATACATGTTCCGTATTGTATTTATACCTACTAAAACGAATTTAACAACCCAATATACAGATATTTTAATCTTACTATACATTTTATATTGTCACGTTTCTGTAATGACACGTTAACATCACTAAATTGGTGTTAGCGTCTAATGCTTAAGACTTAAAAATACTTCACATCAGTCTGGAAAAGAAGAAAAGCTGAATAAATTAAATAGATTTCATCTATTTTATGTAATACCTACCTTGAGGAACTGTCTGGAAATGATTGCTGTTTAAGCAAGAACTATATCGATTTTTCAAATTACAGAACATTTAAAAGATTGTTACCATTATCTAACATGCGTATTTACATACTCGTATATTCATATATTTATATATACGTTATATATATATTTATATTTTTATATTCGTATATTTTTACATACCTAGGAATCATTATAACGGAGGATAGCCGCAGCAAAACTAATATAATCTGCAGGATAGCACAAGCGAAAAGGGCCTTTCAAGACAAAAACCACATACTAACAACCAATAGCGTCAGCGTGGAAATAAGGAAGAAATTCCTAAAAAGTTATATATGGAGTGTAGCGCTGTTTGGATCCAAAACTTGGACAATAAACTCAAAAGAAAAAAAAAACTAGAAACCTTTGAGATGTGATGCTTTAGGAAAATGCTTAAAATACCATGGACCGAGAGAGTTACGAACAATGAGGTACTAGATAAAATAAAGGAACAACGACAAATATGGAAAAGTATTCAATCCAGAAGAGGTAAGATGATAGGACACATACTAAGGCATGAAGGTTTACTAAAGAAAATAATCGAAGGAGATGTTGAAGGACACATTGCAAGAGGAAGACCAAGGGCAGAATACATGACACAGATAATGCAGGATATGAATAAAGGAAATTACAAAGACCTGAAGGAATTGTCTTACGATAGAGAAGCATGGAGAGCTGCAACAAATAAATCCACGGATTTATAACTAAAAAAAAAATAATAATAAAATAAATATTCAAGTGCAATCGTATGTACCTAAGATCATTAATTAAATACATTATTTAATTTTAAAACTCATATACTAATATTTATACAGTTTATTTATAGTAAATGTATTTTAAAAATGTATGTATATTCCCTATACATAACCAGAGTTTTGAAAGAACGACGTTCATAAACGCACGTTCACACATTCACGTTCATATTTTGTGAACGACATATGAATATTACTCGCTTTTTTCAAATAAAACATGAACATAAGCAACGTTTATATTTTTTATGAATTTGAACGACTTTTGGAGCTCTAAATTTATTTGGTATTTTAAAAATGTATGTATAAATAATAAATTGATCATAATATGATTAATTATATTTTTTAAACATAAAGTAAAATATATTTAATACATTTTGTAAAGGTTCCATTTATACAGAATGCAGGTGATTCATAAATATAAAATAAGAACATTTAAATGAACTGCCAAATGAACGTGTTCCTTTTTTATGCTCTGAATTTGAACGTAAACGAGTTATATTTTTTAGTGGACGTTCCGAACACTGTATTAACATTAGATGTTATTTATATATTATAATCATAAACTAGAATATACATTATTTTAAAAAAAAACAAAATCATTGTTTATGTATCTTATCGACCCTATCCTCAGGTCGATAAATTTTCTACGTTTTCAACACTTCTATTTTTATAAATAAAAATAAATTGATGCACTTGCCGTTGGTGATCTACTTGCGTGACGATTTAGTTAACCAACCCCGACCGATATCTGATTTTTCGATCCATTGTTTGTTACCGCCACCGCCTGCCGGGTATCGTGAAAATTTTAACGGCTTGAAATCTCAACAACTATATTAAATTATTATACGTTTTCCAAATTCAACTGCAGTTCTGCGTTAAACATCTATATAGTGTTTCTTATTCATTTTTTCATCTCCATACGATTGTTATACTTTATGTTATCGTATATTCAAAGTTTCGCATAGGTGAGTTATTTAATTGAAATTGTATTAACATTTTAGTAAACAAAAATCTAAACTAAATTTTGTAAACACAAATATCTAAAAAAATAATTCAATAGACCTATTAGACCTATGTTCTATTAAATTATGTGTGTGATGATTTGTATTTTTATAGTTTTAACTATAAAAATAATTTCATTACCTTTCATATTGATTAGTTAATATTTTCCAATAGTTTAATTCACTTTAATATTCAAGTGCAGTTGATTTTACAATATAAATAATTGTACAAGTACCTAGACTTTTCAAAATATCTCATAGATTAGAAACTAACCAGTAAAGTGACAGTTTAAATTGTGTTAAAATTATTTTGAAGTCTGTAGAACGTAAAAGCTAAATTGTGTAACAAAATAATCAAAACATCCGCCAATTATAAAATAATTATTGATTAAGTTTCAACTATAAACTTACTTAAAATCTATTATACATCTATAGTTTTAAATTGAAATGAATACAATGCTAAGAATAAAATATGCAATTAAAACAATAACCTAACCTTGAATTTTTTTTTACATTTTATTATTTAAAATGCTTATAGTGCTCTAAGTGCTAACTTTACAAAATTAAATGTATTCAAATTACAGTCGTTAGTTGTTAAGTTATCTAGAAGATCTAAAACTATCAGGTAACAATTCCAACCTTAATTACAATTTATTATTGTGTAATAGGTATCTAACCTGTACTATATTAAGTAATTCATATATAAAATACTCATTGTAAATGTATAGATTTTGATTAAAGATGGATGAGAGTAGTAATTTAAAAACTACTGAACTCATTCAAACTAAAACAACCTCAACAAATGTTAATGATTTGCCTAAAGAAAATCCCACTAAAACTACACCAAGTACAGATAAAGCTGAAAATAATAATCCAAAAATCAACTGTTATTGGTAAAATTTTTTTATTTAAGCATTTGTAGTTTTAAATATAATTTTCAATTGACTTATTATTAATATAACATTATTTTAGCAATAAAGAAAGAAATTATAATATTATTGAGCTATTATGTGCAAATTGTAACCGATGGTATCATGAATCTTGCATTAGTTATCAGCTCGGAAAATTGGTCCCTTTTATGGTAAATTATATATTTGTTTGTAAAAATTGTTCGCCCACTGGTCTTGAAAGTTTCAAAAAAAATCCAGCAAGTAAGTATTGATCTTAATTTTAAATGTTGCCATTATAATAATTTAACCTTATATTTTAGTGTTTCCGCAAATGTGTGTGACAGCAATTGGAAACCTTATGCAAGAAAGTATTAAAAGTGGAAATCCACAAGATTATTTTTCTAAGGATGGAGAAATAATTCCATTTATAGAATCACATTGGGAAAGTATGACTACAACTGCAAGAAGAGTTACTCAATCATGGCATTCAACTGTATGTTAATCAATTAGTAAATTAAATTTATCAATAGTCTTATTTGGTCTTCCCACAACTAACATTATTTTAATTTTTAATTTCTTTCGTTTTTAAAAACATAATTTATATAAATATTTAATTTTTATTTATATTAATTAATATTATATTATAAAACACAACATATTTTTATTGCATTTTAAAGAAAAATAATTTTTTTTTAGATTACCAGATCATTAGTCAAGGAAACAGATATTTTATTCAGTGTCAAAAATGAGGATAATGGTTCTCAATCATATAAACTTTTATTTAATATTTCTCAAATTAAACCTAACTATGAAGCTATGATCAAAGGTGGTCATCTTAAAGTTACAGAAACTGGAATTCAACCTAGTATGTTATACAGTTTCAAAATAAAATATACAAATTATTTATTATAGATATATGTAGTTAAAAATATGCTTCAATAATTAATCTTAAAATTTACAAGTCCACAAATACAAATTATAAATTCCTGGATTAATTCTATATAATTTAAAATAAGCTACTAAATATTTATTAATAATATTATTTTAAGATGATGAATTTGACTAAATTTATCAATGCAATCATAAATTGATAAATTGTAATACATTTTTAATAAACAACATTTTTGCTATCATAATTCGACAGCTATTCTATTCAATATACAGAAAAAATATTATATTAAATCACATATTACAGATCAAAAATAATTAAACATTTAAATAAGTTAAAATATAAACAATTCCATCAATTTACTAAATCAAATTTATGTCTAATTTGGAGCAAGATTATTATTTTAGTTATATTATTGATTATGAAAAAATATAATAAATATCTTATGAATAATAAGAGAAAAAAATGTTATTCATTACATCGAACACATTATGCTATAGACACTATTTGTATGGTTTCAAAATATAAAGCACCGAATAGTAACCAGTTTTTGTCTAACAGTGCGCATCTTCCACCAAACAATCATTTGATAGTGTACAACTTTTTTAAGTTGAAGTTCATAAAAGAACTACTAATGTTATCATATATGCTGGTGGTGGTAAAAGAGGCTCCTAAAATTTACCACACACTGAATCAGAATGGAATCAAATTTCTATCGGAATGCATCAGAACTCCCCACAGACATATAATCTTTAGACACTTGTAAAATACCTATTTAATAATAATTAATTGCCTAGTTCTTTAAAGCTGTCTGCTATTTCTTCCTGAAGATTATCTTTTATTATACAGCCTGTCATAGATATTAAACTTCATTTATAATTTTTTCATCAATAATTTTATAAATTTAATTGCCAAAAAAAAAACCAACTTGAGAAATTAATTTAGAGTAGTCTAGTGCCTAGTATGTGTATTTTATGAGCTAATTATATTTTAAACGTTTCAGAATCTATATAAATTTTGTTGACTACCAATTTGGTTCCATCCCTATCCAATCCGATTCAGTGTGCAGAATCTGATTAAAAATTATGTTTATTAATCTTTTCCAATCAAACAGTTCTGTTCCACACTAATTCAGTGTGTGGCACTTTTAAAGCGCTTATCAAATGTCCTGAATAAAACTGGTGTCTTCTTTTTTTTAAATAAATATATTTACTCATAAGTATACTTAGATTAATGATAATTATTTTGAATGAATATTAATCATTCTTTTTAGAAAATCAAAATATTATTAAATAATTAATGCAATTGTAATAACATTTTCTAGCTATCACAACTGGTCTTAAGGGACGTGGTGCTAAAAGAAAAACACTTGGTGATGGAGCTGGTGGAATTGGTAGTGGTAAAAAGGGTAGAAATGCTGGTGATCAATCAAATGTTAAGCTACCTGCTCATGGATATCCACTTGAACATCCTTTCAATAAAGATGGTTACAAATATATATTAGCAGAACCTGATCCTCATGCTCCATTCAGACAGGAATTTGATGAGTCCAATGAGTCTGCTGGTAAATTGATTCCAGGATGGTTATACAGACCTCTATGTCCAAATCAAGTATTATTAGCATTGCACGATCGTGCACCACAGTTACATATTTCTGAAGATAGATTATCAGTTACCGGAGAAAAAGGGTATTGTATGGCTCGAGCAACGCATAGTGAGTTGTATATAAAAATAATAAATAAATTAGCAGATGTCATAATATTCTTGAAAAATTATTTTATTGATAATAATTATTGATAATTAAATGAATTATTATATTAAATTAATTATTGATAATTAATATTTTTTTTTTTTTTTTTTTTTTTAACTAAATTGGTTTCTTAATTTTTTTCTTATTTCTAAATATAATAAAACCAATATACTTCTAAATGTTTTTATAAAAATTTAAATCTTTTTATTTATTTATTTATTTTTTTTTTTTTTTTGTACATATAAAATCAATAAATGCAATTCAATGTTTATAAATAATATTCATTTTAAATTAATTGTAAGGTGTTACAAATGGAAATTGGTATTGGGAGACAACAATTGAAGAAATGCCAGATAATTCAGCCTGTCGTATTGGGTGGAGTCAAGAATTTGCAAATTTACAAGCACCATTAGGCTATGATAAATTTGGTTATTCATGGAGATCTAGGTAAGTATAATTGATGTCAAAATTAATAAAGTACATTTTTCATCAAATGTAGCTTATATTTTTTTAAAGAAAAGGTACAGTGTTCCATGAAAGTCGAGGGAAACATTATAGTAATGGCTTTGGTGAAGGTGATACATTAGGGTTGATGATATGTCTTCCTAATGAAATAATATCTTTACCACCCACTCATAAGAATTTGGTATATAACTTTTTTCTAAAAATCTATTTTAATTGTACTGTTAATATTATATTATATGTATTTGGTAATTTAGATATTAATCAAATTCAAAAGTCATTTGTACTACGAAGAACAGTCACACGATAGTACTCGTGATGCGTTAAAAAGTTTAAAACCATTAATTGGAAGTAAAATAATTTATTATAAAAATGGAGAATGTTTAAATGAAAGTGCAGTAGATTTGTATGATGGAAAATACTTTCCTACAGTATCATTATACAAAAATTGTACATTGTCTGTAAACTTTGGACCAAATTTTAAGTATCCACCACCTCAAACTAATGATTTAAAATATAAAGGAGTATGTATTCAATTGTTAATTAGACTTTCCTATTCAAATCCATACAAAAATAATAAAACTTTTATTTAGGTATGGGAGAGAGCTGGTGAAGCTATATGTGAACAAACTCTAGCAGATTTATCATTTTTAACTATAAATGAAGGTAAATTAAAATTAAGTGACTTATAATGATTTCAGTGTGTACTTTTCAAGATATAATTGTTTGAACTGTTTTAGTCTTGTAATTTTCTATGATTAAAGTAAAAAAAAAAAAAAACCTATAAATAATTATTTATTTCTTGATTATGTATTATTTTGGAGAAAAACTGTAGTACTAGAATTTAAAAATGTTTGTGATTTCAATTAAATAAATTCACAAATAATCCATTAGTTATAAATAATATCTGATCTCATCTTCAAATAAATAACAAAAAAAATCATATTATAAATGTTTTACTTTTTTTTTTTTTTTACAATGAAACATTCATATTTAAAATGAAATGGATAGTTGGACGTTTTATAAGAAAATTCTAATGAGGCAAAAAAGTAAATTTTTCAGGAATGTAATGAGATCAATTATTCCAATTTGGTGCGGAATATTGGGTGGTTGATAGAATAGAACATAAATGTGTATAAATGTTGCGAAAATGAGAATGACAAGAGAAGATAAGGTATGAATATGTGAGAGGTAGTATTGGATGTAGCATCGATAGTGGACAAGATTAGAGAAAATTAATAGGGAAGATTTAGGCATGTGAAAAGACAAGAAACAAAAGCAGTAAGAGTAATGAAAATAAACGTTAAAGGGAAAAGAAGAAGAAGAAGACTAAAAAACAGATGGTTGAATAAGAATAAGAATGATATGAGGGCTGTTGGTGTGTGAGTAGATGTAGAAAATTGAAACAAGTGGAGGTTTAGGACAAAGGAAGCCGACCCCAAACAATTGGGAGAAAGACAAGGGTGAAGAAAAAGTCATTCATATTTAAGATTTTTGAAATTATTTAGTAGATAAATAAAAAAAAAATTGACCATTTAATGCATACTTCATTTTGTAATTTATCAGAATTTATAATTTATAATAATAGTTGTATATTTAAATAGAATTAATAATCAAGTTTTAATTTTTGACATCTTTTTTATATTTTATGCAGTAAACAATGTATCTATTTTCATACAACAAAAAGAAAAAAACAGAAAAAGTTATAATTTTATTAAATACAATATTTACATTTTTTACTACAAAAAATACAATTAAAATAATACTAAAAATATTATAATTTCCAAAGCGAAATAAGGGCATTTCCAAGTCCATTACCTAAATAAGTAACTTGCAAAAATCCAGCTAAAGTGATGAGTGCAAGAAGAGCAACAGCAACATGTCCAGCCTTGTTTGCCAGATTTCCAACAACTGGTACACGTAAATAGTCAACTACTAATGCTTCCATACCCCTTTAAGAAAAAAATGCATAATAAATTAATAACTATTTTTTTTAAATATTCAATAAAATTCTTTATAAATTTGACTTTAAATGATACACAACTCTGCATTTTTTTAGCTCATATGTCTAATACTAAATAATAAGTTTTATTACAACTAAAAATTAAGCCTTTACAAATTTCTGATAAAGCCAAAACATATAATATTAAACCAATGACACTGATAATTCTATAGGTGAGAATATATTTTACACACATATACTGCTCATTTCAGATGCCCTAAAATCTAAAAAAAACTTAAAAGAAAAAAAAACTATGCTACAAAATCATTTTAACTATGACGTTACCAATAAACATGGAGAGTAGTACTTATAGCTAGTAAAGTATCTACGTATGGTGATGGATAAATAACTGCAGCAGGAAACAATCCCATAAGTGTTATTGAAACGATACGTTCAGTTTTCCAAGTACTAGCATAATTTGTTTTGTCCTTAACTACTGCAGCACTACCAGTGAAACGGGCAATTATTGGAGCACTTACCAACGGCTTCTAAAATAAAATAAAATGGATTATTGTATTTAATCCAATTCAATTATCTCATAAAGATTAAACACTCAAAATTATGTCTAATAGGAACTTTTTTCTATAAATAGTTTTACCATCATCAAGATTTTTAACTTCCAAATTAAGGTTCCCCTATCAAAAAAGAATAGCTAATATAATTTTTTTTTTTTTTTTTATTCAACACTAGTAATAATTATACAAAAAGTAATTAAAACTTCAAACTAAACATATAGATAGTCAGGATAAATTACCTCAAATTTGATTACATTAATTGTTGTAAAAGACATCTATATAATTAGAAATTCCAAATAGCAATCATTATTTGGTAGTCTAATAAGGTATCACAACATGGGGCCGACAAATATAAAATACAATTTTTAATATTTTTAGAATTTTACGTTTTAATATGTGTGCTTATTGAATTCACTATTTATGAAGTATACTATATAAACTCAATAGTTTTAAATCTTTTGTAGAAAATAATAATTGTAATAATTGTTATTGTAGGTAATAATCAGATAACCTTGAGTACTTAGCTGATGCAACTTTGCAAGTATGCATAAGATACAAAAGATAACAGATATCAAAGTTAATAAATATTAACAGGATTTTATAATATTTTGCTATAGTCTATTAGCTTATACAGTGAATTTGATAAATCATAATAGAAATGTAAAATTGTAGATTATTATATTTTGTCAGCCCCTGTATTTTCTACCCAATGGTTGTTGGCCTATCAACCCACTCCCATCAAATTATTATAGACCAGTGTTTCCCAACTAGTATTCTGTAGAACTCAAAGGTTCCATGAAGAATTTGGAAAAAAAAATAAAATTTTCAATTTGAACAAGGATTTTAATTAAAACAACAGCTAATCCTATTATTTTTGGTATGTTACTTTATCTTATCATAAAATAATGTTATAATAATTGTTTTTCCTATCACCCAAGATATTGTCTGGTATTCAATAATTTTATTTAAAAACAAAATAGGGTTTCGCAAAAATGTTCAAGTTCTGTAGGTAAAAGAAATTGGGAAACATTAGTGTAAACCACAGCTCAAAAATATTTAAAATATAAAATATCGCAGTTATTGTTCTTTGGCACATCTTTAATTTGCTTAAAAATTCTAACCTACCTAGTATTTCTATCCAGAATAAACTTTCTTGTATATCTAATAAAAATCTAACATGTAGCATACAACCTAACCATGTATAATAAATCTTAATTTATGATAAAATTCAGTAGTTTTTTCAAGGGTAACAAAAACTAGATTACAATAATAATTTCACCAAAATTTGTTATAGAAACTTACCGTCATTGTTTTATTGCTCAAATTACTGGCGACATTAAATTGGTTAATACACTTAGGCAATGCGCGGAAAGACATTTGCCTTTGAGCAGTAAACATCAAACCTAATGATAAAAACACCATTAGAACGGTACAAATTATTACACCAAATGACGAAGAAACAAATAAAGATATGAATACTTACAGTGCTTGACTAGGCAAAAATAAAGAAGGGGGACTCTGTTTAGTTTAAAGAAAATAGTGTCCCCAAGACTAGTTAAGCGTTATATTTCTAACGTAATAATAGTAGGGAGATACTAAAATTTCTGAAAATTAGTTGGGATACTTCATCCCCTGAAGTCAAGCAAGTGAATTTTATAAGGAATTTTCATTGGGCGACAAAAAATGTTTTTCTCAAAATAGTCAATGTAATGCCATAGTACGATTATGTATTACACGTTTGTTTCACATTATTTCGCCCAATCTTTCAAAATATTGTCGACAAAGTATAATCACTGGGCGACATTTGTGTCGCCTAGTTAACTCGTTAAAAATGCACTGAGTCAAGCACTGAATACTTACATTTGGTATGACGAAAAAGTTTCAAGCTCAACATCTTGCTTTTGAAATCAGAAATTCTTAGAACCTATTAAGTAACTTGGAAAATTAATAATTATTGATAATTATATTTTTTACTATAATCTGTGCTATAATATTGTGAATTGCACCAGTGCACTACAGAACTGATAACATTTGTCTTAAACATATGACTGATAGTGACAAATATTAAAACTACGACCCCTCTCTGACATATTGTGTATTAACACGGGCACGGTCGTATAATAATAATAATAAAAATAGCACGGATCGGATAGGGTCAATGATTATAATGTAAATTTTATAAATATTTAATTTCACCTTTTAAATATTTTTTTCATTTCTTACTGTAAAATATTTCATTATTTATGTTTCATGATTACGTTAATTTATTATTATCATAAAATATTCTTATGTACCGTAGACAGTGTCGAACTTAAGGGCTATAAGTATATTTATTTCAAACCTTCTATCCTGGGGTCATCGAAAATTTTCTGAGAAGTACCTACGTGGTATGTAGTATGTGATAAGAGTAAATTATTAATAAATAAATAAATTTCCTCCGAAGTGAGGGTATTACCCCCCTGTTACTAGGGCCTGATTTAATAAAATTAGGGCCAAGTGCATAATTTTTTTTGGGTCCCCTAAGTCAAAAAAATCTACATAGAGAGGGGAGACATGTTGATGATAAAAAATAATATTTATATGTTTAAAAGTATCAAATACCTATCTCAAAACTTATAAAATTTCAAAATCGAATGAAATATAAATCAGTGGTTCTAAAAATGGTGATTGCGTGAACGAAATCCTCATAGCGTCACCAGCAACAGGTAAATCTGTAAATACTGGGCTCGAATAATTCTATAAATAGTTATTAAGTATCAAGTATTTCAGATGTTCAAATAATTTTCTATTGTTATTATTTAATATTTTGTGATGATAACTGATTAGAACTAGGATGTGGAATGACAAAAATAATCAAAATTCAACTGATAATTTAATGATAAAAATATACTAAACTCTAAACATTGACAGTTGATATTAGGTACATTTTATAGAATAAATGTTTTTGGAATTAATTTAAAAATACGTAGTAGAATCAAAAAGTTCCCGAAATTTCATTTTATTTTTATTATATATACAATTTAAATATAAATCTACTTAATCTCCTTCAAAATATCGTCCTTTAGTATAAACACACCTACTCCAACGACTTTTTAACTGATGGAAAATCTTTGATATCCCTCTATTGGAATGGCCCTGAGATTCGCTATCGTGTTAAGTTTAAAGTCTTCAATCGTCGCAAAACGTTTACCTTTGAGTCCAAGTCTTAGGTATGGAAACAGCCAGAAGTCACATGGAGCAATATCTGATGTATTCATCAGATAGGAGTCATCAGGGGTTATGGATCTCTAGAAATTTTTTATTCGTTAAAAATTGCTGAACTACAAAAGACGAGTGCAAGTACTCCATCTGCACTTGCGTAAATCAGGGCCTGCCTGTTAACCTCCTGAAATAAACAATGCTTAAGGGTTTTATAGTTCCAAGGGAATTATTAAAAAAAAGGCTTTTTAAAAATGTATTAATAAAAACTGCTTTAAGTTTTTATATATTCAACGTACTTAAATAACAAATGATTATACATTTAGAAATTATGTATGAAAAATGTTTCGAATAGATATATTATTTTTAGATGTACCTACTTATATTAGAAATTGTAAGATTAGGTGCAGGACTTAAAGTGAGGGGGACGCAAAGGGACTCAGTCCTCCTACCTATCACGGCACTTATAAAGCGTCCCTTTAAATATTTCTCTGAAAAGTTAACTGAAACGCTCAACTGTTTCATGAAAATAATTATACACAATAAAACAGCTGAAAAATTGGCTTTTCGATTTAATTGATGTCACTAGATGTTAAACAGTGCTCTACAAATAAAACAAATATCAAATATAAATTATAAATTATACAGCAATATATAATTATAAATACGGTTTTTAATTTATTTTATTTTATTAAAATATATTTACAGTCAATTATTTAAAACAATAAGTACCTACCTAAGTAATTTACAAATTTATATATTTTTACAGCATATGAATAGTTTGTGAAGAAAATTGTTCACTAACAGCATCTCATACCATATATATATTCGTATACATATTTATAATTAATAACCTAGTAATTATTTAGGAATATATGAAACGCTGAAAATGATATGGATTGGAGTCCCTCCTGTCCTTTATTGCGACCTTAAACTCTAATTAGGTAAGCATAAAATATACATTTATACTTATTTTTTATTAACTATATCCAGTGGCGTAGCCAGGATTTTTAAATGGGGGGGGGCTAACTACTTTTTTGGATAAGTAAGGTAAGAGAGGATATGAGAATTCAGCCTTAATCCCCCCTCACCATCTACCACCAAGTTTCTAAACATAATTCAAGCATTTTAGTATAGTTTTAAAAATATTTATTAATATATAATTTATAATAATAATTTTGGTTTCAGTGTTCAGTCACTTGCTCCACTCTGACAGCTGCATTCTCTTAGGCGAATTTCTGGCAAATTCAGTTATTATTTCACTTTCATGGAATTGCTCTTTTTTATTTATATTAGCCATAACTAACCCATTCAGTCTGTTTTCCGACATGGTGCTTCTTAAAAAAAATTTTAAGCGATTAAGTGCTGAAAACGTTCTTTCCGGAGTGAAAGATGTAACTGGTAACATGGCGAATAATTGTAAAAGTATTTTAATGTTAGGTCGAAGATTGGTGCGATGAGACAGTGAATCAAGAGCAGAATTCGGTTATGGAACAGTATTTTGACTCCATTGTTGCCTCCATATGAACAGGTCAGCTCTGATTGTAGATGAGGTACCATCATGGAGATCTTGGACATATATTTTAGCAGCTTTTATAATATTTTTATCGTCATACATATTTAAATTGGCCGGAATAAGTCCTTCAAGTGGCATAACATCAATAAGCCTTTGATTAAAACGAGCATCCATTGATTCTATTGAATAGTCAAGATACATTATACATATAAACACGGCCCATAGGGGGGGGCTATAGCCCCCTTAGGCCCCCCCCCTTGGCTACGTCACTGACTATATCATATCTTAATGTTTTAGCATAAAGGCTTAGAGTTTCAAAAAGCTCGATAAATATTAAATTCAATGTTTTTTTAACAAAATAATTATGCGATTAGCATAGGCGCAATTAGGAGAGGTTTTTAGCACCCCTGAGTTAAATTGTAGCACTACTTTTTTTCAAATCTTTATAATCTATATTAATTACAGTGAAATATCATTCAATTTTATTTTCAGCAATTTCACCACCCCCCATATTTGGGCTCTAGTTGCCTTCATAGCGATTAAGTCCAAGAATTTGTGGTCTGTGATAAAGCCTTGATCTCATTATTGTTTTTCGTTCTGATCTTAAATTATCATCAACTATTATTGTTATTCGTTCTACATTATCACTATGTCATACTTGTTATCAAAGAACAAAATGCAATCTAATAGTACTGTCAAAATGTAATCGTCTCAATTGTTTCAGTTATTTAAATGCGTTTTAGTTAGTTATTCTTTTTATTACTATTAATTTATCAATTTAAGAATGTAACATTTTCCAAATGTCTGTTCATTCACCAGATTCGATCGTCTACCGACGATCTAATAACAAAAAGATCCACCCAGTGCTACCTGTGAAACGAGTGTCATTTCACGAAGATGTTATTGAACCAAACAATGGAAATCTCATTCAAATACGAATTGGAGACTATGGTGAAAGAGAAGCTCCTGAAGGTCAAGAAGATCCAGTACCAAGGGAGACGTTTAAACGTTCTATTTTTAAACAGAAAAAACCAAATTTTCCTTCTCTTTATATGAATAATTTAAATGTAGATCTAAAATCTCAACAAGACATATTAAATAAAATACAGTTAGAAGTAAGGAAAAAAGAATGGAACAACGTTTGGAATAAACACTTGGACTTGGGATCTAACCAGCTTATTAATGTCATTAAACGTGATTTGTCATTAAAAACCAAAGAATCTATTTATAAGGTTAGTAAGAATTATTTTTCTCTTATTTTTATTAAATATTTATTATATTATTTAATTAATTTAATTTCAGATTTATAGAATGTTAAGTACTGGTGGAACACCTTTATTCATAGTTATTACAAATTTTCAGTTTTGCATTTTAACTAAAAATATATACACTAAACGGTTAGAAGTTTACTACAGTTCAAATTTAACTAATTTAGATCTAATAGCATTAGGCCCATATGAACAAACTGCAGTATTTGTCAGTGAAAAATCAAAAAAATGTACTTTAATAACAGCAATAGATGTGCAATCAGCCCTTGAAATGATTGGAAGTCTGGAATATTCATATAGGCGAAGTGGATTATATGATCCAAACAATGCTTTTGTTGTCATTAATATCAACCATCATGATAAATTATATGAAGCTGTAAAATCTCAAATTTCAATACCAAAAGTAAATATTTGTTCCTTAAACATTTTTAAATATTAATTTAATATTTTTTATTAATTTAGAATGATAAAATAAAGTATTATACGTGGTTGTGGTTTTATAAAGAAAATGAATCTTCAAATACTTCGAAATCTCATTTAGAAGAATTTTTAATGGTCAAAAAAGGAACTACATGGAAACCAAAATTTGTGCGTTTAAGGTTATTAATATCGATTGTTAAATTATATAAAAATATAATCATTATATTTGATTATAGGCAAGCGCAGATATAAAGGGGGACCAAGGGAGTAATGGCCCTCCCCAAATGTCACGAAACAAAACGAAAAAATTATTATAATATTATATGTCAAGCAAAGATAAAAATTATATTTTTTCTCTAGCCATTATGTATTGACATGTTTTCAAAAACTAAAAAAAAATTAGATTTCACTCTATGATTTTTAATTTAGTTTCATATTTTTTTTTATTGTTCTTAAATTAAAAATTTCTTTTTTCAATGTATCTACATTTTTTTTTTTTTAATTTTTAGTTGAAAGTTTATTCCTTTACAGTTTTAAGAAATATTTATGGTAAACAATAATACTTATAATATTATGGAAGTATTGAATTTTATATATTATATTATCTCCAAAATATGAAATATCCCCCTTCTAATAATTACTTTGGATTCGCGCCTGCTTATAAAATGTAAATATACTATAAAATACTACAAAACATTAATTTTTTATGTTTCAGTAAGGATATTTTGTACATATCTGATGATCCTGATCGAAATTCACTATGTGAATCAGTACCATTAAGATTTGGTCGTTGTAAAAAAGTGAGAAAAATTTGTTGTGATCGACCACATTCCATAGAAATTTTGTTGATTAATTATTCAATAATTTTGGCACCTGCCGATTGTAGTCGAGAAGAAAAATGGTTTAACGCCCTCAGTTACTCTTTAGTAGGTGTAAGTCAATTTTTTTTATATCCTGTAGCGCATTTTTATTAGAGCATTTTTCGCTATTTTTCAAAGCATTAAAATCCCAACCCTAATTGTTTTATTGAAAGCATTTAACATGAATATCAGATACTAAACAAATTTTTTCTAGTAATCTATAGCTTTAACAAATAAAATATAATTTAAATATTCTAAAATCCTAGTTAAAATCCTGCTGTATATTCCATTTATAATGTTTCTTATTTGAACTATGATTTAGTTTTTAAACCACTTCCTAACACATTTATTATTTATCTTATTTTTAAAATTTATGATATTATATTACATTATTTATATTATATTATATATATTATATTATTATTATTATATTATCATTCACATATTATTTAGTATATTATAAATTATTATCATTTGAAATGATTATTAAGAAAATATTTTTAAATTTTCAGCACAAAGACATCAATCTTGAAGTTAAAATACCTGATGGTTACTGCTGTTTGTTAACCAATAGTCATATTGTTCTGTATAATTTTCCTTATACAATCACTAACAGCATGCTGTTAGTCAATGTGGATTCATTAAAGTGTTCACCTTCACCATCACATTATTATGTTGTAATTGTAAGTAAAAATAAATATTCTTTGATATAAATAAGTAGTTATTATATTTTATATAATTACATTCTATTGCCTAGGAATGGTCCTGTTATGATGCTACATTAGAGGATAGCTGCAATGATTGGGTTGTACATTTTTTTTGTAAATCAAGTTGTGATGAATTCATATCTTGGTTGTGTACATTAAGACCAGATTTAAATGCTACAGAGTTAAAAGAACCACAATCTATACAACGGCATTCAAAGAGTAATATTGCCTTGCGTAGATCACTTTTTTAATATATATTCCACTAATTTGCACTATGTGATTATTATTCTCAGTTAAGTGTTTTTATTTTAAACAATCACAAAATAAATCAAACAATTGTGCTTTTTTGATTAGGATGATCTACTTTTAATCCTAATTTTTATTTTAATATTAACAGAGTAAACAAAAATGGTGCTTATTTAAAATTAAGTTATTCTTAATTTATGTTATTTATTATTTATATAACCACATTTTGTTAATATATTTTCATTATTATGAATACATTAGTTTAATGAATAATATTAGTTTATGCGATACAAATTGTCATTTATTTTTCATCAATATTTATATAATATTTTTATTTATTTTTTTTTTTTTTTTTTTAAGTGAGACTGTTAAAAATATAAGGAAAGATCTGTTTAAGAACATATTAACAATGTATCTCAAAATTGTATGCTGCATGTAAGTGCTTTTTATAGATACTTTATTATAATGATATAATGAATTTTTAATTTAAATATATTTAAAAAAAAAATTTTATATAAAAAAAGGGATGTTTTTTAAAAATTTATTTTCGAATATTAATAATACTTAACAATAATTAATAATAAAATAGTAAAATAGCTACTGCTCAAGATACTCATAATGGTTCATGTAAGGTAACATAAAATTTAAATATTAAATTTAAAAACAAAATATCTAAGGATAATTTATGGTATATTCTGATTTTCTCATAGAATTAAGAATCCAAAATAAAAATAGAGGGAAAATCAATTTAATTTGAATTTATTTTAAAGAAAAGAAATATATTGAGCTGGATGATTTTCAGTCAAAGGATACATATTAAAAATATCTGTAAAGAAAATATTATAATAATAGTACAATAACATTAATAGCCATAATGTTGCTAAAATATCAAATGGTTACTTAACTTAAGAGCGCTGGCAAAGATTAGAAAGTAAGAAAATATTAAGTCGCTTTGTCGAATTGCAAAGTTAATTATTAGATAGTTAGGTGCTGGAAGGAATATTAACTGTATAGTATAGTATAGTATTTTATCCAATGAAACACATAATTAAAAATTAAATCATTGGCATCATAATACACATTTGGAAAGAATATATTGTTTTTTTTTAAATTTTTTGTAGCTGATAAAGTAACATCTTAAAATTTTCTAGTTTTATTAAATCTCAAAAAGATGAAAATAAAAAGAAACTATTTGTAAATAAGAAACACCCATCTCTCATAAAATACAAAAAACATTAATTATAATGATGATATATAATTCATGCATAAAACTACTTTCACCGGTTAATGATATCATTTACTAAGACTTGGCAAATGATAACAGTGTTATCGTAACAAAATTATTCGTAAGAGACAAACATGGATTTTTGGTACCAACCCCCCTTTAAAAAATGGTAATATCTATTTATATTGAATATATGTTTTCATTTCTACGAGTAACGACTAGATAACTGGTACCTGATCAATTTTACTTTATAATAATTTATAGTACAAAAAAAATTATATCAATAGGCTGATACCAATTTCCCATTTATCACTCGAATGTTTTACTAGGGACCTAAAACAGAAATAAGCATTTTTTTTTATCAAACGTTTCATGCGAAAAGAACGTTAGACTGTGCTTTAATAAAAACCATAAAATAATAAAACATTTTAAGAAACCAAGATTCAATCAGCAATATTACTAAAATAGCAAAATACATGTATATTCTAAGGATTGATTAGTGATTATAAGTACTGAAATAACCTGACGATAAACAGATTCTGTAGACTGATAGTGAATGGCTTATTATGTCACCCGTTATAACTTAAAAAGGTCTTAAACTCACTTATTATATTTCAAAAAAGTTTATCGATTCGTTTTTATCTTGGAAATTAAAAACAGTTATCGTATAAATCCAATCGATATCCCACGTAAATACGTTTTCCAAACGTGTTTTTCTTCGTATCAGAATATTTTCCAAGTTCAAAGAAGCCAAACAGAAATTTTATCGATTACTACTAATGGACACGTAATACATGCCATCTGCTCTTCATTTTTTTTATTTGAGAAAAAATTTAAAACAATTCAATATGAAATATTAAAAAAAAAAAAATAAAAAAAAATACTAAGTTTAGGAGAAATCACACAATTTTAATTCCTAACATATTTTACAAGTATCCATCTGTTTTACATACAAAAATTAATGATCTACCATAAATATACTTATTTTATTTTGGTTTTTATAGAATGTACCATTATAGCACATTGCTGAGGATAAACTAACGTTTAGGTTATTCTCCTCAATGTTTTAACCTATGTGTTATTAATGTTCTAACCTAAACTTCAACCGATATTCATGTCTGACCAACTTTAATAATACTCTTAAACACCAAATAATTGTATTTTCTGTTTCATCCCATTTGCTTTGAGCCGTTGCTTATGTTAATTTATACAATTATAATATGCTAGTATATGTAAGGTAGGTACACGATTATATATCTATATAAATAAAAACGAATTGCTCCACAAATGTAAGAGCATCATTAGAAAACGGTTTGACCGATTCGACCAATTTAGCTGATTTTTTTTTTTTTGGTTATTATCCGGACAAGGTTTGTATGAAAAAAATGTTTAGAAAATCTACCGAATAAGTAAAAAAATTGTTACAGTAAATATTAAATTATTAATATTGAAACAAGGTAGGTGTTAAATGAAATTATATTACGAATTATAGGCATTGTCATGGATGCAGTTGTCTTTAGTCGTATTTTAACTAACCTACATTAAGAAAAATTAAAAGAGTGATAAACTAACTATGACATATAAATAAATGAAACCAACTAATCCATTAACATTGATTAACATGCCTTGAAGAAAGTAAAATATTGGTTGATCTTAATAAAAATTAAAATGGTCTTTGACTAATTGCAAGTAATTTTAAATGTATTTTGTGAATAATGTGCAGCAGGAGCGTACCCAAAATTTTTTTTATGGGGGAGGGTCCAAAATTTTCATTTTATCTGATAATAGGAAATTAAAATATGCTATATACAGTGGTGTATTGGATGGTATACGGCGTATACCCTATACGCTATTTTTATCGATGGCGTATAGCTTATGAGAAATTGATGATACGCTGGTATACGGCCGTATATAGCGTATAGCTTGTAATTTGATAAATAACTACATAATACCTGGACTAACCTACTTGAGGTTATATTCATGACATAAGTCGGTATCGGATATATTATTATTTTACTTTTTTTTCTTTTTTAATGAAAAATTCAAATTAGTTATCATTTAACAAGTTTCTGTTATCAAACAGTCATCATTTAGGATGTGTAGTTCATGAGTGAGTTTTTTTGGTTCCTATCATATGATAGTTACTACATGAAATAAAGTGTATACCCATGATTTATTTTAACAATACATCACTGACTATATACTATTATTATACTATTTACTATTTTACTATTTACATAATAATTTATGTTGCGTACGGTTCAATCTAAAACTAGTTATTCCATTTCCCATTCATCTAACCTATATGTTACTATGTAACCTATTGTACTCGAGTTTTTTTATAAGAATATCAATATTTTATTTCTAACTGTTCGCGAGATGATGTTAAACTTTGAACTTTTTAAATGCAAATAAAAATACTTAAATTAGGAATATTTTATTTTTTGTGTTCTTTGCTTTAATAAAAATATGTCATTTATAGATATTATATAATAATAGTAATTTACTTGTTGATGGACAGTCATCGAGTTACAACAATTATTGTACATAACAAAAGTTACAATATATACAACATTCAACAACAAATCGATTAGTGCAATACAATAACGTCAATATTTTTCATCTTTTTGACTTTAAAATGCACAAAGTAAAATTTAAATTAAAATATTTATATGCCCGTTTGCTGTAGACAAACGATTATAATTTTTAACCTTGTAAATATATTTCTGGTGTAGGTAAACGCTATATTTGTTAATTAAAATAATTACAAAATATCAGATCAGGAACACTAACGTATTATTTCTTAGTAGGAAATACCTACTTTCAATTTTCACATGCGAAAATATTATACTATATTAATATTTTAATTAAGCTATAAATAAATTAAGTTAACTAGCTTAAGTAACTAATAGCTGTAATAATAAAAAACAATCACAAATAATAACTTTGATTTTATAATGAATTTGCTGATTTACTCTGTTTCACAATATTTGCACAATATTTATGGTTAACCTATCTTCTGCTAACACAAATAGATTTGGTGGTCTCCTTACATATGAGCATGTAATATAGATGCACATGGAAGAAACATGGATTTTCTAAGTCCAAGCTGTGTATATGGGAATTGCCCATTTGCACCCATTTACGTTTTTAAACGTTTTTGGTAGTTAGTACAGTTAATTGTTACTAAGGTAATAGTAAAAGTATCAACAAACCAACTCCACCACCATCTGTTTTCTTGTATTCGTCATTCTTCTTGCTGTGTTCTAAGTGTATTATATCGCTACCTCGACATTTATTTGTTTATTTTTTGAAATAAACACCAAAGTTGGCTCAAGTAATTATAAAATATAATAATTATAATATAAACTAAGTACAATTTTTTAATAAAAATAATAACTTTAACAGATTTAACAATTAAAGAACCGGTTAACTCGTATTATACATTGAATACTTAACTAATAATGAAAAAATTCAAGACCGGACTCATTTTCCATTCTCAAAATTTTTTCAAATGAGTTATTATACTCATAATTAGTACGGTGGGTTTTGATATAAAAAAAGGACATGTTCGAGAGTAATATTGAGGAATTGAGTAATATTAAGTATTCAAGAAAAAAATCTTAATAAATAACATATAATATTAACTGTACGCTATTACAAAATCGCTTATTTTGAAAACTATAAATCATTTTGTATAAAATTATATCACATAAGTAATTAATTTCATAGATTATTTGATATTTTAATTTTAGTAGACATAACTGAGAGTAAAGTTAGTAAACTAACTAAAGTTAGTTTACACTGATGGTTCGATCTCTTCTATTTCTACAGTCTATTCTTTTAATATCCCCAAACTTATCTATTTCCTTTTCTAACCATCTTTCCCCCACTTCTTCATAATTTTCTGCCGAATGTTTCGCTATCATTGAAGCCCTAACACTCATATCTTTCCTTCCCCCCAACAGATTTTTAATTGTATCTGACTCAATGTCAAGTACTCAATCGTTAGTTAATTATCCTTTCAATCCCTGATTTTCTCCTCTTATTCTCCGCATAAAAAATATTCTTTTCTCTCTCAATCAAGCTAACTTTACTTTTAAATTTTTCTGGGCTCCTAGCCACGCTGGTATCCTCGGTAACGAGATCGCAGATAACCTAGTAAGGTCCACTTCTTCAATCTCTCTTCCCTCTCCTTGTAAAATCCCTTCTTCTGACTTCATCCCAATTCTGCGACAACATATCAATCTTTGGTCATCCTATTGGAATAGTCTTCCGTTTATTTTCGCCTCAAAATATAAAAGTGTTGTTCCCGTTATCTTAAAAAAAACTTGGTTCTCTAATCTAAAATTATCCAGAAACTCGATTACACAATTTAGCCGTTTACGGGTCGGTCATTATCTTTTTCCTTCCCATTCCTACAAACTCTCTCTAAACGATTCCTCTTACTGTTCTAAACACTCTGAAGAGATTATTTGTGACCTCTCCCATATTATCTTTAGCTGCCCCTTTTTATCCTCTAATTGTTAAACTCTTTTTAATTTTTTAAAATTTCAAAATATACAACTAACTCTATCTTCTATTCTTAATTCCAATTCTGAATTTGTTATAATCCGATTATTATCATTTATCCGTGAGACTGGTATAACCGCTTAATTATATTTAAATTATTTTAAATGAACTGTATGTCTTAATTTTTTAACTTACACCAATTTTATTCTGTAAATGTTGAATTAAATTGTAAACCTACAAAGTTTCAATAAAAAAAAAAAAAAAATAATGTTTTATGACTTTATTATATCATACATATTTTTCAATGGGGGAGGGGGCTAGAGCCCCTCTTACTTTCCCATAGCACCGTGCCACATTTACATATATAATAATTTGCATTTATTCAATTGGTAACTATGTGCATTATCTTACACTACATAATAGTAGTACAAGTTGAGACTAAATATATTTACGGTGGTGTAACATTAATTGTAAAAAAAAAACAACGAACAATTTTACGATTCGCAGGTTTCATTCAAAAATTAATTGAAACATTCTATGTCATGTGCTAAAATGAGTGGGAATAATATTCGACGTATTGATTGAGAAATAAAAAATAGACAACGATAACGAAGAATTGAAAGAACATGCGAGCACGAGCACGTGCGCGTTATAATGAAAACTATAGACATAGTAGTATTTTATATTTTTACACTATTCAAATTCGGATGTATTAACTATTATTATAGTATAATAATGTAATAGAAATTTGTATCGCAAGCCGAATAGCACAAAAAAAAAAATATTACATTTGAGGGAAAGAGGAATAAAAGTATAAAAGATTGATATTAAATGTAGTTAAATGATTATAAAAAAAACTCTCGGAGTTGACTTGCTACTTTGATAGCAATTTTCATTAAAATAAATGGTAAACATATGTTACATATATAACATGATTTGATTGATTTTTTTTTTTAGTTTAGGGATTTAAAAAAAAATGAAAAATATGAATACATTTCTGATTTTTTTAAAATACCGTATGGGAGTTAAAAAAATATAAAGCAGGTGAAAGCAATAATACGTATAATTTAACACTATTAACAGCCGGTGAATTTTCTAAGTTTTTAATTAATAGATTTCTAATTTATGATAAAAATCGACTTTGTTGAAACGTTAAGTATAATATCAATTTTCGACAATTTTCTCTTTTGTGCTTATTCTGTTCAACATTGGACCCGCACACATATGAGGAGGTATTTATATGGATTTATACACAAAACTTATAAGATATACGTATAAAAAAAAATTTCGTAAAACTAATAAATTCTTCGTTTCACTAAAAATTTAAAATGTTGAAATACTACGTATTACAATTATAATTTTAAAAACATTTTAAATGCCAATACAAGAAAAATATCACGTGAAAAATACATGATTTGGAATAGGAAGGGAATTTACTCGACTACCACAGGTTAAACCATTAAACTCCCACAATACTATTATATTTAACAAGCATGCATACGTAGTGTAATATTGATAATAATATATAATACATTATTAAAATATATATTGTAATATTGAAATGGACTAATAAACATTTAATATTAAAATCATCCAAGATCCAAGTACATGAAAATAGTTTTACTATAATAATTATTCGTTTATCGATTTGTTTCATCATTTGTCGTTAAGTTTTAAGTTTTTTTGTTGTGAATGCATCGACTTCATCTGTACACTTTGATCCCGTGATCATATGTTGCGTATTAGTAGCATTGGAGCGTTCCATGCATGTGCGTAATAAAATTTGAAGTAAAATCACTTTCTCCGTACAATATATAATAAATTAATATGTAGATTATGAACGATGCGTGTTAACACCGCACCGCAGTGGCTCATCGTAAGCTGAGTACATTAATATGAACATTTTTGCCTTTTCAACAAACAATTTGCAGTACGTACAAGAAAAATGTTTATAATATGGTGTACAAAACGATATTTTAATTGAAAAAAAAATCATTTATTTTTCGTTAGTTTTTTAAGTATACAATATACGTTATTGTTGTATAAAAAATATGTTAAACCATAATAATAAATAAACGGTTTATGTTGGGAGGTAAAACTAACAAAAGTTCTAATAACTTATTTACCTCTTATTCTCGTGGTTTCTCGCGAGCATTATGGGGAATAAAACTATAAAAATAATAAATAAAATTATGTAAAAACAATTGAATTAATTAATTCCTATAGCTCGTACTTAAATCTAATTTCACACAATTATTTATGTACCTTTATATATGTGTGTTTATGTGATACGTTTGTTATAATAAAATACACATACAGACATGAAAACGGTAGTCTTACGAAAATACGTGAAAACTACTACTGTAACTACATAATAACAAAAATACTTCTATAATATTATGACACTACTTCAGCGAAAAATGTACAACAAATATATATTTAAAACAATTTAAACGAAAAAAAAAAATCGAATTTCTTAAAAATTTTGATTTTATTTTTTATAAAAAAAAATGTTCATCAGATAATACGATCCGATGATCAATCTGATCAATCTGTTGATGTATTTATCTCGCTACTATACACACACTATTATTCAAGCGTATTATGCGTTTACTCGACATTAATAATCTTCCGAGACTCACGGCACTTTTCCCCGGTAAAACAGTGCTTCGTTATATTATAATATTATTACGTTTATTCGTAAACAACGTAATTTCAAGGTATCTCACGTAAACTCCTTTAAAGACGTGTGTCCCGCGGGAATTCGCGATGATTTAAAGCTTCTACCCACACTAAACACCAGTATTAAATATTAAATTAAAAAACGTTTCGAGGAAACAATAAAATATTTTTTAATTATTATTGTCATCGCCGTGGTAAAATAATGTTTGAATAAAGACAACAATAATAACTTATTATACATTTCGACCGTACGAAACTGCAAAACTTGACAACAACAAAGTTCTCTGTAGATTGCAATTATAATATGTTCTGTTGCGCGTACGTAAAATTCAAAATTACACATTCATTGACGGGGTTTCGCCATAACCAAAACAACTTATCGACGTTTCTCGATTCCGCAAATAATATCTACACCCACTACACTAACCAGTCGATCTCCGTGGAGACACATTGCCCGCACATCCTGTACATAATTAACTATACGTTTTTCTAGATACACACCCACATACACCCGCACACATTACAACATTATGGCACCGAGATCCAGCCAGTGGCGTATTTGAGGAGGGGGCAATCCCTCCCCCGAGAATTTTTAGACAAAGACAATTTTTATATAAGTAATGAGTATTTTATTAAGAAACAAAAATTATGATTTATTTTATAGTATTACTACATTTGAAAACGTTTCAAATTTTACACTAATTTAAATAACGCAAAACGCTAAATTTTTCATAAGGTTTTAATTGTCAATAACGGTAAACGGAAAATTTTTTAAACGTTTAAATTTATATAACATTTGAACGCTTAAATTGAATAATGTTTAAATTATTTATAACGTTAAACGCTCAATTGCTTATAACGTTTATAAGTCCCATAACGATAAATAATATATATTATTTTGATTGAAGACCCAGTCCATATTTAGTGAAAAATTAAATAAAACACAAGCGAAACTTTCAAAACACAGATAGGTGTTAAAAAAGAACTACACAAAAAATTATTCTGAGTGGATCCGGCATTAGAAAAAATAAATAAATAAATAAACCACAAATATTAAGGATTCACCTGATATAAATATTTCCAAAAATTTTACTTGTAAATGTTGAGCCTGAATTAAAGAAAAAATTTGATTCGTCACCCCCCCTCCCTCTAGAAATAAGTCTAAATACGCCTCTGGATCCGGCCGTACGCGAATTCGTATTGGACTCAAAAAATTATGATCATATGGTAATAATAATAATAATAATAATAGTAGTAATACATAATACATGTACGGTTTAATAAATAGATATACAAAAATGGACTAGTCAAAAGTTTGTACGGCGATAACGAATACGCGAGAAAAGTCGAGGGGTAAAAACGATACGTGTTTGTCTACGGTCGCTGCCACGATGCGACGTCAGCCCTGTTGTCGCGACGTAGTTGGTTTTCGGCCTCAGCCGTACTCTGCATCTCCTCTTCCGACGACCACTGCTGCTGATGCTGTTGCTGTTGTTGACCCCGTCTGTCGTGACTGTCGTGATGGTTGCCGTAACCGTAGTTGATGTACTTAACCTTGGGCCGAGGGCCGAACACCATGTTGCGCACGGTCATGAAGATAGCCGCGTTCAGGGCCATGTTGTTGATCATCAGCGCCGACATGACCATCATCTTGAGGTTTGCTAGGACGATGGGTGCGAAGCCCAGGGTGATCAGCTGTGGTATCAGCATGTACGGGTTCATCATCATCTTCTTGAAGTGTCCTCGAGCTTCAGACGCGGTGTCCGTCGTGGTTAACGCGGCCGCTCCGTTCACGGCCGGACCGGACGCCGTAGCCGAGCTGATAGCGGCCGCCGAGCAGACTGTGCAGACGACAAGCGTGACGAGTCCAGTGGCCAGCGAAACCGCGACCGCATCCTGAGTGTTCATGGTACACGGCGGCTAATGCCAATGCGACGCTATACTTACCGGTAGTCACTCGGGCGGCGATGGCGGTGGTGACGGCGTCGGCGGTCGTGACGATACTACTACTGGCCGCGGCTCGGATCTCCGCTTCGATGGTAACGAGCACGTGATCCGCTCCGGCCCAAACGGCCAGTTCTCGGCGAAAGCAAGAGGCGCGAGCGCGAGCGCACTTCAAGCAACATCACGCATTCCATGCATCCGGACCCGCCGCCGGTTGACCCACAAAACCGATGACCGGTTTACGGTCGCCGCCGCGGAAACGAGGACACACCGCAATCACCGCAATAGTACACACACGCGACGACTACGACGGGGACGCTCAAACGTTTGTTTTTCGGCGTATATAACCCGTGGCGGCGGCGGAAGTAGACCGACAGTCTTATAAAATAATATCTGCACCACAGCAGACAATCCAAATTTTAAATTGCTTGGACACGTTTACATGTAAGAAGCTTAAGCTACACGCCAAACTAAAATGTTTGTATTTTAATATTTTTTATGCTCTAACAAATACAATCCCAGAAAAAAATTCCTAAATAAAAAAATCGGTCACCAAACTAACAATAACAAATGATCTTTGTTATCACTTGACTAAACTAAATTTTTAACAAATAAAGCAAATCTTTCAAATGTATCATTCAATAAAAAAATATAATTTATAGTATTTTAATATTTTAGATTCTGAGTGAAGATAAGCCTAACCTTATAGTGGTGTGAAATAAATCCGGATTCTCCGAAAATCCGAAAAATCCGGATTTCGGATTCGGATTTTAAGCTGTAAAATCCGAATATTTGGGTTTCACATTGTAGATTTCTGTATTCTAAAGCAGAAAATAAAAATTTTTCGTTATAAATTCTAATATAAAAGATTTCCAAAGATTTGGCTAAAAGATTTTCGATGGAAAGTGGGTCAGAAAAAAATACTAATGAAATACCGGTGAATGTATCTCAAATAGCAAGTCTACTTGATCCTAGGTACAAAAATTTAAAATTTGAACACTCGGAAGAAATTAAATACCGTATTCAATCAATTGTTCGTTCAAAAGTATTATCTGTAAATCAAATTTCGACAACTGTATGTGGCAATACTCAAATTGCAAAAAAAACTATATTAGACGAGCTAATGGGCCAATTCTCTGATGATGATGAGGACGAATTTACTCGTTATTTGTCAGAGCCTCAAATAAACCATAACGACATCCATGTTTATGGTGGAAAGCACGGGAAAATGTATATCCTAAAATATCAGTTTTGGCAAAAAATATTTTATGCATTCCTGCTTCATCAGCATCGTCCGAACGTGTATTTTCTACAGCAGGTAATATAATTACACCCAAGCGAAACCGAATGACGCCATTTCATTTGTCAGCATTGGTATTTTTGAAAAACCAGGCATAATATTAACAACTTATTATTATTTAAAATATTATTAATATTATTATAACCATAGAAGTATTATTTTCATTGTTACTATTATAAATTATTATTATTTAATTATTTATTTATTTATAATTATTATTTCAAACTTAAATTATTATATTTGTAACCTAACCTAACCCTATTTAGGTATTATTTATTGTGTATTTTTGGATAAATTATTCTGCTACTTATAAATGTTGTTACTAATTTCATGTATAAACTGAGTTTAGGTTGTAATATCTACACGTTATTGCAATATTGATGATTGTTATTGTTATATTTTTGCTTTAAAAGTTTTCCTATAAATATATTAATTTTTTACAAAAAAAAAAAATCTGTATTTATCAAGGCTTTAATATAAGAAATCCATAAAAAAATATTAATTTAATGCTTCAAAATCCGAAATCCGGATTTCGGTTAAAATCCGAATTTGAATTCCGAAATCCGAATTTTTATCCAAATCCGGATTACGGATTTCGAATTTCATGAATCCGGATTTTCGAACTTCGGTAAATCCGGATTTTTCCCAACACTATGACTTATAACCTTATGGTTTTAGAATGATATTTAATTTTTTTTTTTTTATAAACACTTTTTCGAATAATGGTCCAAATGTTTGATCCAACAAATTTTTTGATTTTAAATCGGTCTGCGGTGATATTTTAGAGAAGTAATTTTTCCAAAATCATGATAGTTTTTCCATGCATAAGGAAAAATTGTCGAAAAACCGAGTAAAAACGATAAAAATGCGTTGTAAAGAAGACTCATTTTTCAGATTTTAGTTATTTAGTTATAACTCCAAAATTAATTTGGCTAGAAACTTGAATTTTTTACCTTATATCAAAGAAATTTTTTTTATTGATTTACTGATTTTACATTAATTTTCAACTTTTAATGTTTACTAAAAAAAAATAGATTCATCAAATCATAAAGAAACTTTGAATACAGATAGAATAATATGTTTAGAATACTTGATTACAAAAAATTTTTCTTTCGTCAAATAAGAAAATTTTACACAGGTTAATAAATAAAAGAACCAAAATGGTGCAATATGTAAACGGTATATTTTTATGTTGAAACATTTCTCAGAACCATTTCACTAAGGAAATAAATTAAAATTTCTTTAAGACTCAATACATCCATTACCACTATTTTATCTGAAAACCTAAGGGACGGAATATGAACTTCCATCAATATTATTTTAACAATTATTTTGGTTTTTACTCATTGTTTGAATAAAAAAATTTATCTTTATTAATCGATAACGTTTTTAAATATTTTTCAAAAGTGTGTAATCTTAGACTGCAACTGCAGTATCATCTCCAAAATTAGCCCCGATTGGGCTGATTAACAGCGGTGATGAATAAGAATTAGAATTTTATAAAATGATACTCAAAATGCGATAAACAACGGACGAAACATGTGTCATAGATAATATGGCATTATCCTAGTCTGGTCCTGCTACTGATCTCACTTTCACTGTGTAGTATTGTAATTTATTTTCGTCTGGTTACGATATACATTTGAAAGAGTCCAGGCCAATTATCTAGTAATATTTTTTTACATCCAGAACCTACCGTAAGAAGACTTTAACAATTTTAATAAATAATAATAAGTTCCTGTCTCTATTTATTACAGATGTACTCGTATATCGAATTGCCATTGTGTTTGCTATCGTTGCCTTTTTTTTATTTTATTTTACTTAAACTTTGTTAGTACAATTAGTTTCAATTATTATTTAATATAATATTCGTAGTTGTTTACATGAAAAGAAATAACAGTAATAATATATAAATTAAATTAAAAAGCCTGTATGGTCAACATATTATATATAAAAAAATAACATATTTAATATGATATTTTTTTGTTGAATTGAGAAGATATATATAGTATCGAAAGGTATATAGAATTGTTGCTTTATACTATCATATTTTGAGATTAAACTTAATCCGAAGACGATATTTTATGCTTAATTTGATGCAAAGAAAATAAAAATGTTACGAATGAATTTAAGGCAAGAAAAATCTCATATCTGTTTTAAATTTTAAATGCTTATCCGGATAGGGAAGTATTAATGTTATAAAGCTCGGCATATCGTGTTATTCGAGCAAGGAAATACATTAATCATTTGGTTCAATCGAGTGCGGAATTGTTGGCCTTATTTGATATTTAGCACACAATTAATAACGTTTATGTACTGAATAGTATATATCTGGATGTATATATTATTATACCTTAATTATCTTTACAGGGTATCATCGCATTTCTTTCAAAAGTAATTTAATCAATTCGAACTTTGACAATTTAATAGAGTCACTCTTATGTAGACTCTTAAGTAGCTTTTATACAAGAATACTGTTTAAACCTTGTACACTTTGTGTGTTTTAAGCTCGTAAGTTTTTTCATGTGATTGTTAGCGTGCGTATACTGCTACGTAGTTACATTGTATTAACCAAATGTTGTTATTCGCACAATCAAATTCAAATTTGCAGAGATAAATGTGTCGTATACTTTGGCATTCATTCATCGCATCTAGAGGCATAATAATGATGAATGTGATACAGAACGGGAATATGTTGGATTAGGAGCCAGATAGCTAAAGTGAGCCGCATCACTAACTGTTATATTTGCACGTTTATGATAAGTGATTTACACACTATCACTCTGCTATTAATAACTCGGTTTTTTCCTAATCTTTAATTTTGGTGTAATTTTTTTTTGTTCATAATCAATATAATCTGAGAATTTAGTTATGCATATAATTTTTTTACGTCATTGAGGATTTTTCGTCCAATACTTTCATTATTGATATTCATATCAATATGTTGGTAATCATGTTATTGGTTACGATTGATATATATAAAAAAAAAAAAACTAAAATGGTAACTTTAATATGATAATAATATTCAGTCCTGTAAACATTAATGTGAATACAGGATAGGTATCAACTGTCACCAAGGATAAATTAATTTAAAATGGTAGTTTAATGGTAATTATAATATCCAATTATTTTAAATTGGTGAATTGTTATAAAATTAGATAATAGTATAATATTATAATAACACTTAAAATAAAAATAACACATGTGTATATCGATGTATCTAGTATTTCTGAGCAATTAATTAAACAAATAGTAATTTTATAACAGTCCAAAATGAAGGTCAACTCTCTTTGAATTCAATGAAAATCAACACATTTTTTAATTTACACGTAATATACTTACGTAAGAATCTAATATTTACCTAATTATCATAATATTGCTTATGAAAACCAATATTATTACTTATTAGGTTCACTATTACAGAAAATTGGAGCAGTGGTTAATAGTAACAGTCCGAAGTAAGGTCATTATCATGTTCTAAAAACTTTTTTCTGTAAAATAGATCACATTTCACGAAATATGAATCCATTTTGAGTTAATTCTAATACATACGAGTACTTTCTAATAAGTGATTAGCAATTATCCATTTTATGGCATGATATTGAATTATTAAGTGATGGTGTATAAATTGAAAGTACTTATTTATAATTATAAAATTAAAATTAAAAATCAATATATTCTGTCTCAAATTATAGTAATAAATAATAATTAGAGCAACTTTTTTAAATACATTTTGAAATTACATTATATTTATGCATAAATATTTGCATGTAAGTAATCATTTTTATATTTTCAAATATTACTAACCATTTTTGTCTGAATGTCTGATACAGGTACACAAGCATTAATTATAAAACAATATG